ATCCCTCTTATGCAAGATATTTAATCTTGCTCATGAAACTGAAACTTATCCTACCTTGTGGAAGGAATCACACATTTTGCCCATTCCTAAGCACGGCAAATCTACATCATTTGATGACTTTCGGCCAATAAACACCCTCCCTGCAGTTTCGAAGATCTTAGAGACATTGATCAAGGATAAGATGATGTGTCACTTAACAGCGAACAACTTACTGAGTGTTGCTCAGCATGGATTCCTCAAAGCTTGATCTTGTGACACCTGTCAACTCTCTTTCTTTGACTATGTTCTCCAATCTAGGGACCATGGTTTTGCTCTTTGCACAGTATATTTCGATTTCACAAAGGCTTTTGACCGTGTTGACCATGCTCTTCTCCTCTTGAAATTGTCCTCTTTCGGAATAGGTGGCAAACTTTTGAATGTTATATCCTCTTATTTGGGCACTCGCACACAACGAGTTAGGATTTTCAATACCATCTCCAACACCACACGTGTGAGGAGTGGAGTCATTCAGGGTAGTGTACTCGGCCCGCTTTTATTTTGCCTTTTCGTTAATGATGTACCCGATTTATTTCATAATGGCAAGCCTTTCATGTATGCCGATGATCTTAAAGTTGCATATCGATATAAGCCGGCAGATCATGACATCGTGCTTGAGCTCCTAAAGAGCGATCTACAGGCTTTCGCCCAGTGGTGCCGCACATGGCGCCTTTCTCTTTCTTGGCATAAGTGCTCAGTCATGGTGGTTGGCGACGACCGCCAACCTCAACTAAGTATTGAAGGTCACGCAATAAATGTGCCAGGGGTTATAAAGGATTTGGGCGTATCATACTCCAAGAGTCTTAATATCTCGGAGCACTGTGCCTTGATAGTCTCCAAAGCACGTAGAACGACCGGGTTTATCCTCCGAAATCTTAAAACTAGGGACATTAGAATGCGCCTTTTTAACATGTACGTTAGACCTGATCTTGAATACTGTTCGTTTTCATTTAGCCTCATGCGTGCTACGGAGCGGAAGAAAATAGAGTCCGTTCAACACTTTTTTACTAAGAGAATTTTAATCCCGGAACACCGACATTTGTCTTACCAAGAACGTTGCCGGCTTACAGGCCTCGATCCTTTATGGTTCCGTAGATTACAAAAGGGGCTGTTTTTGCTAATTAAACTCTTATATAATCACACATTTAACCCACTCACCTCTTTAAGACATCATATCCACCCACGACGTAACAGTCACCGTGAGGTCTTCTTATTTCTGCCTCTGGCACGTACTGTTAAATATGGTCGGTTCTTTTCTGTAAATGCAATTGCTATTTGGAATAAACTCCCCATGAGTGTGAAAACTCTGCAAAATTATCCTTTATTTAAGAGAACTTTTACTCGATTTTTGCATTCAGAAAAGCTCCCACAAATTTTGGTGCTGAATCTACTGATCGACTGTACCGTAGCGATGGCGTTTGTGGTCTCTGAACACTATGGCTGGTCTCACCAGCTGTTCCTCAACGCCTCTACTTTGACTATCCCCAACTTCATGAAAGGAATTTGACGTCCGATAATCTCCGATACCGTGCAACCTCCCCCCTTCTTGACGGTCGATATTCTACCACCGCCGGCAGATTTTTCTCCTGAGCCCTCCAAACCATAAAAACCACCATCAACTATATTTTAATCCCTTTAGCTCAGGAGTTTTTTTCACTGCTGGTCGGATTTGTGTTTAATCGCTTCCCTTGACAATGCCTGTAAACTGGCATTAAATAAAAAATTTATTTATTTATTTCATTTACCGCAAAATTGTGAGGTACGAAGACGAGCCTTGTGGTGGGTGCGCAGATATTCAAATCAAAGTAGAACAACTGGAAAAGGAGCTTGCTGATTTAATGACGCTCGTGAAACAGACCGTAGTCGGCCAGAACGTGTCCAGTGTTAGAATCCCAAAAACGAAGAGCAAAACGCAAAAAACGCGAAAAATATCTCATCGGGGGAATCTTCAAACACGAGTAGCAACTCAACAGCGAAAACCGCAGACGCCGGTATCAGCAGGACAATGAAAACGAAACCGCCGATAAAGGGAGACTCCATTCCCACGCACGATATCTTTAGCGATGTAGTAAAAATATTACCTGTCGCGGAAGCCATCTCACCTAAGCCTCTTGCTGTAAGTGATGGGATTTCTGTTCTGCCTGGAGACGATATACCTGGGTCATCCAGTCTACTGTTGCCCTCTTGTTCTGGCAACCACCCCGAGCGCACTACAGAGCACCTATCTGAATGCGAAGACATAAACCCGTGGGTAGAGGGGAGAGGGAAACGCCATGACAGGATTCTGAAGTCCCAGCCAGCCCTGATGGGTTGCTCGGGACAGTCGGTAGACAGTAAAAGTGTGCGTCCAAGCGATGACTCCGTAAATCGTCCTCGTCCACATGCAGCGCTTTCACTGGAAAGACAGAGTAAGGAGGACCATGCTCGCCAGCAGTGTCTGGTTATTCAGGGTTTGTCAGAATCGAATGCAGTCAGACCTGAAGACCGTGTCTCAGAGGACCTTGCTTCTTTTCGTGGTCTGCTAAATCATTTACTGCCGGCAGACATGGAAATAAAGGTTCTGAAAGCATTCCGGATAGGAAAAAGGAGTGAAGACAGGACAGTAGCACAACCACCTCGTCCTCTCAAAATTACGCTGGAGAACAAAGAGCAAATCAAGTTTATCCTCTCTAAAAAAACCGATCTCAGAAACACACACAAACAGGTTTTTTTTCAACCGGACTATTCACCAGCGGAACGGTTGAAACGCCGGGAACTTGTCTTGGAGTTCAAATCAAGACTGAAGGATGGCGAACACAATCTGGCTATCTTCAAGGGGAAGGTAGTTCGGAAATATATGCCGTTTCAGTGGAACCAGCCTGTAATACTACGAACGACGACAGCTACTCAGCTAAAACAGACACCTTCGTTGAACCACCTGATCAAGGCGCCAACACAAGTGAGCCCGTAGCGTCCAGTGATCTGACTGAAACAAGGCTTGTAAATGGAACCAATCAGGTAACGGAAGAGCCTAGAGAACAAGACGTCCGCGATAACGGAGTAATGCTCACAACAGTAACAAATGCAACGGGAAATTCGGCTAGTGCAAAACTGAGGTGCTTGTACACGAATGCCCAAAGCCTCATATCGAAACTAGACGAACTAAAACTTTGCCTTGTTGAGCTGTCTCCAGATGTTTTAGCAGTAACTGAGACCTGGCTGTCCGGGAATATTAGCGATAACGAAGTAGCCTTACCTGGATACCAAATTTATCGGAGGGACAGGGAACATCGTCAGGGTGGTGGTATCGTTGTGTATGTGAATGACGGTCTGGCAGTGTCGGATAACACCACCAAGTTTGCGTGCAGTACGGAAGCTATCTGGTTGACCATCAAGGCTACCGGTTCCCCGTGTCTCGATGTCCTTACTGTCTACCGACCACCTAGGACAGACCGAATCGCCGACACTCAACTATTGGAGCAGTTGGGGAAATTTTCCAGTCGACCTAACATCACGATAATGGGCGACTTCAACGCACCAGGAACAAACTGGAATACCCTCCAAGCGTCAGGTCCAAAATCGGCATTCGATTACCGCCTGTTGAGCAAGACATTAAATGCGTGCCTCACACAGCATGTAATGTTCCCAACGAGAACACGTGAAGGACAAAGGGCAAACTGCCTGGATCTGGTCTTTACGAAAACACCAGACAGCATAGACGAGATGGCCTCCATGCCGCCCCTTGGCCGAAGTGACCACGTAGTGCTTATGTGGGATTATTCGTTATTCTCCATTTCACATACTCCAGACCACAAAAGGCGTAATGTTTGGCGGAGCGACTTCAATCAGATGAGGGCAGACTTATCCGGTCTTGACTGGGGCTCATTGTTTACGGGAAGTGCCAACGATGACTGGGAGCTGTTCAAGAATGTCCTTCTGCAGCTCATCAACAACCACTGCCCACTGACTACTGTAAGACTGAACAAACGCCCTGGGTGGCTAAATAGCAACCTCAAGAAAGAAATCAACAGGAAGCACAAATTGTGGAGAAAATACTGCGTCACTGAGCAAGGTGAATATTTCAACACCTACAAGACACAGAGGAACAAACTGAGGAAGCTGATAATGCAGACGCGGCGGGAATTCGAGAAGACCTTGCTACAAAAAGCAACGCAGAACCCAAAATTGCTCTACAGCTACCTCCGACGAACTACAAGGAGCAGGCATCAAATCCCCTTGATAAAGAATACTGATGGCGTTGAGATCGCTGATAGTAGGGATAAAGCTGCGTATTTCTCACGGTTTTTCCAATCAGTCTACACAAACGAGGCAAGGTTCCTTCCTCCCTCCACAGAAGGACTGCCGACTCCGAGCGTCAGTGATATACTCTTCTCAGAAGGCATTGCCGAAGAGAATTAGAGGAATTGAACGAATCGAAGTCGCCAGGACCAGACGAGATTCCACCCAAGCTTCTGAAGGAACTTGCCAGTGAGCTCTCTGTGCCTTTGTCGATGCACTTTCAAACGTCATTTGACACTGGAACACTTCCTGTCGATTGGAAGCTGGCGCATATTACTCCGCTACACAAAGGAGGTAACAGGGCAGCGACGACAAATTACATGCCCATAAGCTTGACATGCATTCTCTGCAAAGTGATGGAGAGGATCATAAAGACTGAACTGATGCAATTCCTGGAAGTTCACGGCCTGCTATCGAAATGCCAACATAGGTTCCGGAAGGGAAGATCCTGCACGACAAACCTGCTGCAATCTCTCCAGAGCTGGACCCAAGCTCTCGACGACAGGCACGCGGTCCACATAGCCTTCATCGACTTCCAGAAGGCTTTCGACACTGTGCCACACCAAAGGCTCTTACATAAGCTGAAAAGAATAGGGATCGGTGGCAACTTCATTAAATGGATCGAAAACTTCCTTGTGGGTCGACGGCAGGTTGTGTGCGTCGGTCGGGGAAAATCAGATCCGGCTATGGTCGAGAGTGGTGTCCCCCAGAGTTCAGTGCTGGGACCCATTTTGTTCCTTATCTACGTGGACGATGCCGCAAGAGATTTAGACTGTGAAGTAACAATGTTTGCGGATGACATGAAGATATGGAGTGTAATTCGGGGTCCTGCCGATGAAGACGGACTGCAGATGAACCTGAATCGGTTGGAGGAGTGGTCAAACCGTTGGCTCCTGCGGTTCAACGTTGCCAAATGTAGCATACTTCACCTAGGCAACACAGCCAGATCCGCCAGCACAAGAGGCTACTTTCTGGGCAGTGCAGCCCTACAAGAGGTCGAAGCTCAAAGGGACCTCGGCGTGCTGACGACCAGTTCCCTAAGGCCATCCGCCCACTGTTCGAGAGTGGCAAAAACCACAATGTCCGTACTGTACGCCATCAAGCGTGCGTTTATGGACTTTGACGAAGACGCTTTCTCTAAGACATTCGGAACATTCGTCCGGCCGCATTTAGAGTACGGCATACAAGACTGGAGGCCGTGGGCTGTTGTGGATCAAAACTGCCTCGAAAGAGTCCAGAGGAGAGCCACGAAGATGGTCAGGGGTCAAAGCTCCTTTCCTTATGCGACCCGCCTAGTAAATCTGAACCTCTTTCCTTTGAGTTACAGGCAACTTCGCGGAGATCTCTTGCAAGCCTTCCGCATTGTAAAGGGGTTGGATTGCATTCTGGCCTTCGAGGACTTTTTTGAATTTGCTACCACGACCAAACTCCGAGGTCACCCGTTAAAACTGCGCACTCAGCAGGCACGGCTGGATGTGCGGAAGTTCTCCTTCTCGGTTCGGGTGGTCAAACCATGGAATGAGCTTCCCGCAGATGTTGTGATGTCACCATCTATACAAAGTTTTAAGAAGAATCTGGACATATTGATGTTCCGAAACGACCAAGAGCGATGAGAAGTCGAGCTCACCCCCTGTAACTCCTTCTCATTTTGTCCCATCATTATGGGCGTGTTCGAACTATTTCAGCCCAGAACATCAATCTGTACACCACACATTTTTTACGTTGCAAATAGGGTACTGAAAGGCTTACGCCTATTTCCCTCAATAAACTGAACTGAACTGAAAAAAAACCACAGGATTGTCAGAGGCCGTGAGTGTGCCCTAGACTTTCATGAATTCTTCGAATTGGCCGGGACTGACCGTCTGCGTGGTCATCCCCTCAAACTGCAGAGGAAGCTGGCTCATTCGGACGTCCGACGGAACGCCTTCTCTCACAGGGTCATAGGGGCATGGAACGGACTCCCTGATGCAGTGGTTCTTTCCGAAAGTGTCCAATCCTTTAAGTGTAGACTAGATACTTATTTGCTGAGAATCTATTGTACATATAATCAGGATTGTTTTAGCGGCGACAGTTTGCGCCTGGCTCACACTTGCCGCTAACTTTTTAACTTTTCGATTTGCTGATGTAATTGATGACTTCATTTCTGTTTATCGATATGAATAGGGAGCTCAAGTGCGAAAGCCTCATTCCCTTAATAAATTGACTAAAACTGACTTAAATATGTAGTTCGCCTTCATGGAACATTAAAAGGCTCCCGAACTAAAAAACAGTGAGTCTTTCAACTCCCTGTAAAAAAAGATGACTTGTGATAAATCCTACGTAACTTTGATAACTCGAAGTAATTAACAGTGCTAATGACAATGAAAATGGCTTTCTCATGTGTCATACCAGAAGACAGGGGCGTTAATCGGGAGGTCGGAGGTTTAATGGAGGTCGGACGTTTCGGGTAGTGGGTTTGTTTATTCATCCCTAGACATAAGAAAGTCATGCACACAAATCATTTACATAGCTCTCAGTGACCGATTGTGAGAATGTATCGGACCGTCAGTGCACAGTCTCTGTCAGTCAGTGTATCTGAGGGGAGTTTGGTTACGCCTTTGAACTCGGTCGTTGTCGCATGAAAATCGGAGTGATTAGCGGTAATAAAAAGAAATCCCAGCATCAAGTGAATGTAGACATCGATTCACATAGGTTGCTGGTAGTTATGGTTGCACAGTCACATAGTTCGCTTGTTGCTGCAGCCTATGTCTGTCAAGTCGATGATTAAGTGTTTCCACGAATTAAGAAATTACAATCGTCTCGGGCAGATCATTTCACGGTTTCATGGCACGGCTGGAGAAAAAATAATTTTTCACATATATTCTTTCTTAGGGCATACGTAGTTTGAAGGGATGTCTCTGGAGGTCATTTGTAGTGGCGATTTGAAAATAGCTGTCACACCAATGGGCGCAATCCAAGCCACACACGATACGCAATGTTCGTATTAAATATTCGCGCATTTATCTATAAGTCCGAGGATAGACATTAAGGATATTCAGGCGGGTCTCATGGGGCAGTGTACTCTGACCTTTTACTAGTTTTTTTGGTTCACCTATACACCCTTTCAAGTAGATTGCAAACCTGCTGGGCCCAGGGTCTCCAGGCCTGGATTGCACATTCCAGCTGCGGCCGTACAAACGTGCCAAAGACGTTGGACAAGCATCCTTCATCGAAAACTGTGAATGTCCGTTTGATGGCGTATAGTATTGAAGTTGCGGCCTTACCCGCCTTACAACCTTGCGTAGAAGGCTTTAGGCTGTCTGCAACCCAGACTCAGAGATCTTTCTGAGTTTTGTTTCTCGGAGCGGTATCGTTTCAGATAGTATTGCCGCGTATTAGGGACGTGGTTCCCATTTCCGAGTAGATGGACAGAAGCCATCCATCTACTCGTCCAATCGACGAAAATATTCTTGGACCTTAAACTTGCTTATGTATATAACGGGAACACAGTTGCCAATATTCACAGAACAATTGAAACTGACCTTTAGAAAGCTCAGCGAATGGAGTGGTCAATGGCAGATGCCTTTTTCAACCGAAAAATGTCATCTCCTGATCTTTGGCCCACAAAAACTTCCGCCCATAATTTTCGAGGATAATGAAATAACGGAGGCCCCATCGGTAAAATATTTAGGTCTCAGCTATACAAATACCCTTGATTTATCTCCCCACGTCCAACAAATATCACCGAAAGCCACTCGGCTATGTGGATTCATATGTAAAAATTTCACCTTAACTGCATTAAGAATACAACTTTTCAAAATGTATGTTTTACCTCTCCTAGATTATTGCTCAGTTTTCTTCGGTATAATGCCCTCAGACGGCCGAAAGAAACTAGAAGGCATTCAGAGGCGTTTTACTCGATCTTTGTCCAGAAGTGATAACACCCAGGGTTCGTACTTAGAAGTATGGTCTTCGACCACTCTGAGTCAGAAGACTCCAAAATGGTCTAAACTTCTTATTCAAGTTCACTCATGACCAAGATATTCTCAAAATGAATTTACTAACAAACCAAAACGCCCCCAGAAACACCAGAAATAACGAAGATATTATAAGGATCCTCAAATTCACAAAGTCCTGACGGTCGAATTTCTACACAATAAGATATGCCACTATCGGGAATGCTCTTCCAAGTTCTATCCGGAAACGTTGAACCCTAATCGAGTTTAAAATAAAAACCAAGAAAATCCTTTCAAATAACAATACACATTTTCAAGTCAATTCTTTGATAAAGAATTTGGTCCGCAAGGGCCCTGATGATACCAATCGCTTGTATAACACCGGAACATTGCATTAAAAACAATCAAATTTATGAACGATAGCATCATTGACAAACATAGAACAAATAGTGATATTCCTTCTTCCCTGCCTTTATCATTTCTATCGGCTTTGTAACCTGACACTAAATATCCCTTAAGGCGCTAATAACAACATCCCTTTCGATAAAACCCTACATATGAAATGTACGTAAGTCTATATTAAAGTCATATTAAGCATATACACAACTATATTAGACCATAGTGAACGGTCGACCACTACTCCTATAATGTCACATTCACAAGAATCAATATGATACATAATTCAATATTATTTTGACAGCTTTGATTGTGACTTACCATTGAATATGTCAGAATAGGTCAGTAGGTCAGTATATATGTATCTTACTCCTGATCTATATTCATCTTTTCCAGCTCTTAGTCCAGAGGATTATGGCAAGCCTCCTGAAAAACACGAAGAAAATGTGCGACCGCCCCTTTACAGCTTGTAGCGGCCGAGGACGTCAAGGGTAGCACACACCACATAACGGAATACCGAGGAAGAGATCCTGGCTTGTGTTGATCTGAATAGGATTGTTGGCAGTTCACGATACTCATTCATACATAAAGGATGGAGAAACGATCAGTGGACGAGAGGATATAATGAACAGAAAAGGGAATTGAATAGGTGCATAATGACAGTTAAAAGTACAAACGGGATGAGTTACAACAGTCGAGTGACCTGTCTGGGTGGAGGGGCGAGAGCAACATGCCAGCTGGAAAACCGGTGGGGAACGCAGCGCTGTGGGCAACTGCAGGGAGGGACCGAGGGGGTTGCCGATGTAGCGAGGGGAGCGGTACGAGGGTTACATCACGGTACGGAGCGGGGGAAGGGATCGGCGGAAGAGAGAGGAAGGGACACCGGCCGTCTTCACCAACACGCGGCTACGCCATCTCCATCCTAGGTCCGCGCGCCAAAACTGTCACGGCAATCAAACAACCCTCCTCAGATCAGGGGACGTTACACCTTTACAGCTGGCCAGATGGATTGACAACCACCAACTAGAACACACCAAAACTTACCCATCTGGGAAATACTTTCAAGGTCAGGTCGATATTAAAGTGCTTCGATTTCCATGAAGGACGTATTATTCATGCCCACCCAGAAACTACCAAACTGCACACTTTAATTTTTATGTTGTACATGTCGTTCATTCTTAAAACTTTTGTAATAATTTTTCCTTGGAACTCAGGTTTTTTTAACTTAAAACAAACTCTCAATTCGCTCTCTACTGGTTAAAGAGACACCCAAGACAAATGCAGTCAAATTTCAGTCGAAATGGATGAGTTTGTTTAAGTTTTTTTTCTTGTGTTCAAAGAAGACTGACAGTGCCCAAGGGGCGCTTTAATAAACTTATTCTATTCTATGATGGTCTCGTCGGTAGCATTGTGGATGACGTTCCGGATTTTACTAGCATGTGCAAACATGGCACGATCACAGTCCAACTCTTCAACACAATCATTAGAAAACAAGAGATAGAGGGTCGGTCCGAGCATGGAGTCTTCTGAGAGTCCATTTTTTATGACTTCGCGTCTTCGTTGCTGTTGTACCATGCGGGCAATTTGAGAACGGCCGACGAGGAAATTATCGATCCATTTAGGAAGCTTGCCTCCGATGCCCATGACGCTGGACTTCTAAGGGAGGCGCTGGTGCGGAATATTGTCGAACGCCTTCCGGAAATCGATGTAGGCCACATGCATAGCGTGTTTTATATCGTGTGCTCTTTCCCAACTGTGCATTTTATGTAAAAATTTTGTTACACACGATCTTCCTCCACGAAAGCCGTATCGTGCATTGGTCAAGAGGTTGTTGATTTCCAAATAAGTCATCAAATCCTTTTTGATGATTTTCTCCATCACTTTACATCAGATTGATGTCAGACTGAGGAGTCTGCAGTTTGTCGTAAGAGCTCGATTACGGCTTTTGTGAAGCGGTGTAATCTGGGCCGTTTCGCAGTCTGTGGGGTGGATTCCAGCATCAAACTATTTCTGGCACTCAAGCGATAGTGGTTTGGCCAGCTGTCGGCAAGCTCAAAGAGCAGTTTTGCCGGGATCTTGTCCGGGCCGGGAGATCTACATCCGTCAAGCATTTTAATTCTTCAAAATCGTTTCCTGTCGAAACACAATATTTTCAATAATTGAATCTCCTAAACTTTCAACACTAGGCGGATTCAAAACTGCTTCTCCTGTGAAGACAGATTGGAAGAACTGAGAAAAATGGTCAGCTTTGTTCGTGCTGTCCGATATCACCAAACCGGCATCATTCGTCACTACAGGAATCGGATTCCTCTTGCGGGGCATTTTATGCAAGTAACTGTAGGGCAATTTTGGATTCCTAACGGCTCGATGGAGCAAATTGCAAATGAATTGTCGTCTTTTCTTGAAAACCAAGCTCCTCACCTTAAATGAAGTCAACGTTCGGTCTTTTATGGTTTGCAGTAGAGGATGATCTGCGTTAAGATCTGTCCGCTGAGGTCGGTTGATAGTTACAGCTTCGAGGAAATGCTACTCCCGTGCTTTTATAGTCAACAATCTTGTCCGTCCTCTCAAACATTGTTAAGTTTTGTCTCGCATTGTCGCCGCGCCCTCGTTGAGCGCGGTGATGATTAGCGGACCCAACTGCTTCACGCCTTCACTGTTTTATGTCAGTTATGTTCGGAAAGCCAACTATACACAGGCAAACTAGTAAAGCGGTTGATTGGGCCGTCGGTGGACATTCAGGCCTCATTGCATCTGCCTTGACATGTTATCATCGTGTGGCCTACAATTTTAAGGCAGGTGTATGATGCTCTGAGTGTGATAAGCCTCAGGTATCTCGCAGACATTATTAGGGGGGATAAAAATTAGCCATGTTTGTCTGTGGTTATTTATGTTCGCAGTTTCTCTAGGGCCCACCTGTACGAGCTGTAAGTCCAGTTCTGCCATCTTCGACTTAGCTCCACTTGCGTAACATAACTGCATCGGCGCTATGCGTCCCTACACTCGACTTACATTTGCACTTGCAGGTACCCACAGGAAGATAGAAAACTTTAAGCGGTGTGCGGATTAAAATTTGAGACTACAAATAAATCACGCATCCCCAATCTGAGACTGCAGCAGGACTTTAAAAAATACCCCAGTGCGTATGTCTGGAACACAGTTTTATTCTTGGGTTTGTAACACAAATACGGGAATGTGGTAAAAAACTTCGTATTTCTCGTATGAATGGAACATGATATTTCGACCGTTGTACCTGACGATGTCCACCGTGTGCCCCGCAGCATGGTGAGGCAGGCAAGATAACTTACGCGTTATTTAGTTTATAGTGAATGTGGACTTGTACAACATCTATGACACTCTCTTTTCCTACTCCCCACCTGGACCCGGTGTCAGGTTGTTTATAGAGAGAACAATGCGCTGAGTCGTCGACGTCGCCTTGCCTTCCTTTTTTGGCACCAGCAAAGTCCGAGTTGGTCAGTTGATAGAGATATAATCGTCAGAGATACAACCGTCCCCTCAACTTTCCACAATATTTAATCGTACTACAAGTTTAGGCGGTTGTCTTGAAAAGGTACTTTTTAGTTCCCCCGAAAGTTTTGTTGGTTTTGTCATCCTCGTCCGACATTGTTAATCAGTTGTGCATTTGGTGACGTCCCTAACGGTGGCCATCCAAAATATATGGGTTCTTTAGATTAGGGAATTGTGGTAATTCTAAAAGCAATCGTTTGTGATATATATATAGCGAGCCAGCCACACGTCACTGCTATCGGAGCAGCCTCCATTTGCACTTATCCCGCTCGGGTTCATCCTCAGTCCAGAACTTACCGCATGTGCTTAATTTTCTGAGGCTTTCTGGCCGAGGCTTAGCCATTCTCTTTGCATTCTGTTCACCGTCGGCCAGATAGATCCGGGCAGAATAGACTATTTAATGTCTCGTTTAATTCACTGTAAGTCGTAGTCATCAACCCATCCGAAAAAGTCTAAATGGCCGTTTGCTGGCTCTCTTCAAGTCATGCTTACCACTATTGTTATATACAACTGTAGGCAGTGTCCTCTGTAGGCGTTTGTGCTGCTTTCTCGAGCTTCTCAGACCATGTAAGCCCACCCAGTCTGGATCTCCTCGTGAATGATCATTTGCCGTAGACTTCCTTACGGCTGAAATTTTCAACGTAAGTTATAAACTAATTAACTCGTAGAGGTATTTCCCTTAGACGACATTCGTCCTCTCATCTGATCGTCGACAACTGGCCAAGCAGTCTTATTACTATACTCTAACTAGGAAAGAAATTAGCAATTAACCGGACCTGCATGTCCCAGCCTTCGCTTTTTAGGTACACGTCACTCGAGTTCTGTGTTGTCATGGGCGTTTATTGAGGGTTCACGTTGGGGTGCTTGATTTTTTCAGCGTACATGAATCCAAACAATTGTCGGGTATTTTCATTTGTGATCTGTATTTCCGACAGGCCTGAAGGACATGCGTCGGCTTGGGTGGTTATAAAGACGGGCTTAGATACCTCGCGTAAGTGGTGGTAGTGTTATACTAGTTCACCCTAGCCGCGCAAAATTAGCGAAGAAACAGATAAGATTGGAAGTAATATTGTGGACTTATTTCCCGTAACCAGCTTACCCCAAATACTTTAATTAAAAATAGGAGTATGCTTACGGACAACATCCGGAGCCAAAATCGCTATGAGACCAAAATCCTCAGCAGATTAAGGAATTTTGACTTCTCTTGAGCGTACACGCTTACAAGCTGTCGCTTAGGTGCGCGAAGAACTTCCTGTTATTCATCCCTTCTTTATAAGCACCTGGGAGGGAGCTTTCGCGTCGGGTATACCATTATTTTCTCACGGGGACCATTGAGCTCTAGAAATACGACCGAATTAGCCAGTTAAACTTGTGATAGAGAGGCGCCTATCGATCGCCTTACGGGACACACTCGTTCCATTGTGCCTTAAAGCTCCACTTTTTCCGAAACGGGTCCCTACCCAAACGCCCGACATTCAAGTTATCCTTCTTTTGTCAAAAGGGATTGCATCGGGAGCCAATTTTGGTCTGCAGGATATTCAAGAATATGGATAGGATAGACCATGAACACTTTTTCTCGTTTAATCAAACGCGAAACTCTCAAGGAAACAGCCATTTAACCTCCTAAGTCTCCGCGCAAGCACATGGGACAGTCTAGTGACCTCACTATAGCACGTTGTCGATCGATGGAGTGTATTACGTGATTAGGTACGGTTAATCATGTACGCTCACTATTTCAGGAGCGCGCTTCTTCCGTTTTCTTCATTAAAATTTAGGCCCTGACACATTCGTAACTTATGCTTGCCGTCAGACAATAACACACCATCCCACCACTTTGCATTTACGGGTGTCCCGTTGGTCATTTAAAGCTACCCAAAGAGCGAAAAGTTTTTATCTGCTGTTTCCAGTCCACTTTCTTGCTTTCTTCAAGGATTTTTGAGGTACTTTTTGAACGTTTTATTTGCTTCCAGCTGTTGGTCTTCTGTTCACACGTCTTCTGAATTCTAGTTCTATGCATTTCCGAAGCTCTCCGCCTTTCTGCTAAGGTTGTGACCTACATATATTCTCCGAGAGATGCTATAGGATTGATGATACACATGTAGTCCTACGCCTTATTTTGAGCTTTTAACTCTTTATGATGCTTCGAATTGACTAAATCGCATGAGAATGCTTGCTCTGTGAATTGTCTTGTTCGTCTACCTTCTTAGTGTGATGTTTACCTAACATCTATTCGAATCGGATGCACAGTTCCGGTTTGCTTCCTGGAATCCAGCGTTATTTATGTTATGGAATTCGAATAAGGCACGATTTTCTCATCACAGTTAACACCAGAAGTACCATTTTTATACGCAAATCGTGTTAGATCCATACTACCATGCGGGTTAAAAGTTCCATAGGGTCTAACAAACGCATCGGCAACCGCTCATACGTTCTTATTCTCACCCAACTTTTCCAACGGCTCGTCCATGTATCGTCTTACATTCCGCTGACGCACATCATAATCTGTACAACATAGTTATAAAAGGGCCTCGACATCGAGCACTGTTTTGAAAGATAGGCTGGATCGTATTGAAAACTATGGTATTTAAAACACATTCGTACAATAATATTACAGGGGCATGCATGGATTCGTCAGAATTAGTCTAAAAGGCAGGAGGTTACTGTTAAGACATACTTGTGCGAACTTAAAATATTGGATTGACCGCGTGGATACAACGACCCTTAGCGTGGGGTTGGGGAAGGCTGAAGAGACACTCGCCTGAATTACAAAGTACGCTTATATTTCTACGATATTCTCTCCACGTCAGTTGTCAACTCTTGATTTGTTTTCAAGCAACTCTAGGCTGGCTTCTAGCCCATTATTTATATTTTGTTCTTTGCCTTTTTATCTTTGGTTCAGTCGACGTGACATCGTTTTTTTCTTTCCATCACCATACCTGCCAGTTACATAGAAGCTTATGCTTTCTGCAAGTCCGTTAGGTTTGTATGTGTCATCTAAACTTTGTCAAAACCGACTGGTAGGTGGTTATTGGGAGTTCCATTCCTAGGTACCCACGCGTTTGACCGCCTAGGCCGTCATCACGGTCCGTTGAGCTTGCGGTCATATGTTAGTGGCTTAGCCTCCTGGTGTTCTTCCACTTTGGGAACAGTACCATTAGTTGCTTCCAATTATTCACTGACTTATTGGCAGTATTTTTGGGTTAGGTTGTTTGCCCTCATTCGTTTGCCCCCCATCACCGATTCTCCTTCTACTAGTGGCACACATCCCAGACGTGCAGATTCATTCCACATAGTGGTACTGCTCACAGAATCTGTGCTACGTTTTCATGTGTGGAATGTGAAGTGGTACTGTAAAATAAAGAGTACGAGGGAGAGTAATCATACATTAGTTGTCTGCTAGGGCCATCCAGTACCTAGGATATTTCTCTTACTTATCACGAAAGCCACATTGTCGTCCAATTTAAACCAGTAAGTAGTCGAAAAATGAGAGTGTAATGAGGGCAGATCAAAAAACTGGAGACTTGGTGACCGTCTAACAGATAAAATCAGTTGTAAAGGGACAGTGAGCGCAACGACTGGTCACTATAAAATTCGAAATTTACTTAAAAATCCGAAGGGAATTCCGACTAAAGTCAAACTCCGTTCCTGTCGAAGTAGCACTGGGTAGCCAAACGTAGGTAGCTTATCATGTGAGACTAGCCGAAATCTTGAAATGTGAAGTTGACAAGAAGGGGTAACTTGGGTGACACTGTAATACTGAATATCATGCACTCCAGAGTACCGGGGACATCCAGGGCGGCGGGGTGGATAAAATTCCGCGGTTGAGACCACCGTTTCTTTAAGGTGGCATTATCGTCTGGAGCCTGTAGGCCTTCCAGTCTCCGGATCAACTGATTGCTGAATTCGAAGCGTTGAGCAGGCAAATTAAACAGAGCAGTACTTAATTGGCCTAGCGGTGGCCTACGTTGTAGTCCCCGGCGAGGTTGTAGTCGGGACCTCATCTTGGAGTTGACAAGGCGGTGACGCTCCGAGCCGTCGTCATCAGCACGTCCTGCCCTCGAAAGGGAACGTAATCCAGCAGCTGTCACCTCCGTGATCGTGAGTGTATCCTGATTGTCGCTCCCCGCATCGGAGGGCAAGTGTCGGTGAGGAGGATGTGGTATTCCGCGCAAGTTCGAAGAAAGAGAAGGCCATTTTCGCCGCAGCCGCCAAGTCCATGGGGGCCCAGCAATCCCTACCGGGCATCCTGGTCTGTCCCGCTGCGGACATTGAATTCATGACGGACAGTCAGATTGTCAGCTATCGGTACAGTCGCTAGGTGGGCGTGCAGGCCTTCATAGAGCCCGTTCTTCACCTCTTCCGGCTTGGTAATTGTAGGGGCGTAGGCGTTGACGACGGCGGCTGATTTGACTGCCCGAAGAGGCGGGTGCAGAATCATGAGGCGATCGTTGACACTCTGGGCAAACAGGGCAGTCGTCCCACGGTGTCGTCCTGAATTGTGAAGGCAACATCAGCGTCGCATCGCTCTGCGTTCGGGTGGCCACCGCAGAAGAGGATGTAGCTGACACCCACCCTCCAATTGGCCCTGTTCTGTGAAGCGAGTCTCGCTGATGGCAGCGACGTCCGCCCATCTTATCGCGCGCCGGGTCTCGAGCGACTAGCACCGTCCTTCTTTTCGGTCTATTTCACCACAGGTGGTCTGAAAGAAGACGAACACTCCAGGTTTTCAGAGCGAGCAGAGTCCCTCGGGCAGCTTGTAGGATGGGGCGGGGAGGATGGGGACGGTGATTGTTGTTTGTTTGATTGTTTCGACTGTGAGTTGTAGTCCGCGAGCCACGGTTAACGTGCAGATGAAGTGATCCCCAGAATTTGTTTAGGGTACCTTTTTAGCCTCTCGTCATCCAGGGGTAAGCAGTGCTGTTCGCAGGTAGGATTGCCTAGGCATCTCGGACGGCTGCCGAACTCCACTATGGATCATAACTTCGTGTAGAGGGATGGAAATTCGACACCTTCAATTGGTTAAGCCCGCCGGGTTGGGGCGGTTACCGGGTTATGACCACTAGACTGCCTGGCTTCGTTGAACCACAGCTGAGGGTTGTGTGCTAGTTAAGGATCCGTAAGAGCTGTCATTATTTGCATAATTCGACCTACCACTCCTGCATGGGGTGCCCCCTAACTGGGCACCCCATACACTTCACAACTTCGCATAAGTATTTCTTTGGAATCAAAATCACAATGAGAATTCTAGTCAATGTTTCATTAGGCGCTGCAAAAACTGTACATCTTGTATCTTTATTATTTTCCATTCCTGCCGAAGTTGTTTGGCTATCTCAGCTTTAGAGGAAGCCACTCGTGGACATATAACCAGCTGTAGTACTTCAGTGCCCAGAATCCTCTGTCACTACAGAGTCCCTGGTAGACCATAATCTGCGTTAAATTTGATTTTTCTAGCGTGAGAATGGTGTCCTTGTTGGATGAATTAAGGCGTTATTGAGTTTTATGTGAACTCATAGGATAAGTCGAAGAGAAGTCACCGTGCACACGTACGATATGGACAACCAGCCAAGATTGGGCAATTTAGTGGAATTTTCGTCTCCTTGCTTCGACATTGTCTCCAGAATGGCCTACTGCAGAATTATGACATTAGTGTTCCACAATTCTGTTTTTCTTGATATCATAGTTTGCCTTCACCTTAAAGCGTATTCTGTGAGTGGTGCAGCCGCATTTTTTCACTCGTTCTTAACTGTTACTGCTGAAGTGGTTCAGAATCTACTCAAACGCTTCAGATGTTAGCAAACATTTTTACCGTTCCATTTATGCCATGCCGTTCCACTATGACCTTTAGTTTTTGTCGGTGCATGTCGTCCTTTTTCTCAATGTCCACCATTGTGCCATAAGCCCTCCCACTCTGTAGATTTGTTTACCGATATCCCGTTTTGGCTCCTGACTGCTAAGTGAACAATCCTCTAAGCTGCTCTGGTACTGTCAGGAGTTTTCATCTGACGAAACTTATGCGGCGGACTGGCGCTCGACTAAATCTCTCCCACTCTCTTTAACTCGAATGCCTCCACTTTGCTGCATTCCGTAGAATGAAGTTATTCGGAGAAAAGAAAGACCCGCGCGAGAAGGTACGAGAACTCCAAAGAAAGCTTCGTCGGGAAGAGATGAAACTAGATCGCGAAATCAATGCGATTCAGCAAAAATCCAAACAGTATGAGGCGGAAGTGAAACGATATGCCAAAACCAATAACATGGAGGCAGCAAAAGTACTCGCGCGCCAGATTGCCGCCTCTCGCAAATCCGTCAATAGACTGTATTCTGCCAAAGCGGAGCTTAAATCTGTCTGCATGAGCTTGGATCATCAGGTGGCAGTGATTCGAATGTCTGGTGCTATGAAGAGCAGCACAGATGTGATGAAGTCAATGTCCAACCTCGTCCGCGTAAGTTTGTCGCTGCCAGCTTTACACCCTATCGTTTCCACGCATGCACACATGCCTTTATGTGGGGGCTAAAAGACAAACGACTTATTTGTCCCTGTGATGGTTAAACTTCAAGTTTTCACCGGAGGGTATCTGAGCCTTGGGTCTTTCAAGTGACCACCCGGATTCACTCCCGCAGTCTAGAATTTCTGCTTTCTGTAATGTAGCGGTTATTTTTTCTCTATCGTTTAGTCCGGTTTTGTTCGTTAACCGTACGGTTACTGTCGCGGGATAATTACACTAGCTCTGGTTCCCTTCCCCATCATGTGACACTCTTTGACTGTATAATAAGGGCGCGGGGATATTAGATGTTGATTCTCTGTGGCGCAAGGATTATTCGGAACACATTTTATGCCACCATTTCTCTCAAGGCTTTCGTTTCTAGACAGCATTTGTACTTCTAACCGGAGGTACCAATACGTCCATGTTTGCGCGACATTTTTCTGCCTCCTACCGATCCTGTAAGTCCCCCGATTTTTGTGTATCGAATCCTGCCTGCCAGCGTGCGTTTTCTGAGCAGGCCGCGTTGACGGCTCCCTTATTGTAGGCGCTGCTGGAGGTTCTCGTTAATTTTGTGTTATACTCTATCCAAGGTTTTTTTTCAAGACTTTGTCAAGTTTTAAGTGTTAGAATAGCTCTCAGCCAAAGAAACCACGCGCATTCTCTAGCACTTCTTTTTGTCGTGTTGTCGGTTGGTCTGTTACCTTATTGCTGGGTGTGTTGGCCTAGAGAGGGACGGAAGGCTCTGATCCCCCCTCACCCCTTTCAAGTCCTACAGCGATGTCGTAGACAGGCCCAGGCTAACTCGGGTCGTTCTTTCACCAAACAAAAGCTGTGGCCCATAGTGGAGTTCGGCAGCCGTCTGAGACAACCAAGCAGCCGAATTCAGGGAGAGCACCGCTCGCCCCCCTCGAGGGGGGAGGGGCTAGAAAAGGTGCCCTAAACAAATGCTGGGGAACCACGCCGTCTGCAAGCTGATCGTCGCCTAAGACGCAAAACTCACGGTCGAAACAAACGAACCAGAAACAATGCTCCATCTCTTCCCTCTCCTTCTCCCCACCGCCCCACTCGCCAGACTGGTAGGCTGAGCACTCACTCGGGCAGCCTGGAATATTCGTTCCCTTTTAGACAACCAGAGGAGCAACCGACCGGAATGGAAAATGGCGCTAGTGGCTTGGAAACTGGGGCACTACAAGGTGGACATCGCTGCACTCAATGAGACCCGGTTCTACGAAGAAGGGTAACTGGAGGTGGGTGCCGGCTTCACCTGAAGAGGTCGCCCCAAGGCAGAGCGACGGGACGTGGCCGTCGCCTTTGCCATCCGGAATGACATCGTGCGACGACTGCGCTGTCTGCCGCAGGACGTCAACGACCGCCTGATGAGCCTCCGCCTGTCTCTTCGGGAGACAAATTTACAGTCATCGTCAGCGCCTACGTCTCCCTCCCGTCCCTCCGATGACCAGCTCGGACGAGGCAAAGAATAAGTCCTACGAGGACCTGCACGCTCTCCTGTCGTCTGTACCGAAGGCGGACAGGTTGATTGCCCTTGGTGACTTCAAAGTCCACGTCGACACAATCCATGCTGCCTGGAGAGGAGTGTTGGCTCCCTACGGTCAGGACGGCTTCGATGACAATGGCCTTTTCCTCCTATGAGCCTGCGCAGAACACCACCTCATTCTCACCAACACCTTCTCCCGCCTTCCGACGCGAGAGAAGGCCACGTGAATGCATCCTCGGTCGCGACACTGGTGCCTGCTGGACTTTGTCCTCGTCGGGAGGCGAGACCAGTAGGACGTGCTGGTGACAAAGGCGATCTCGGGTGCTGACGGGTGGACCGGCAATCGTCTCGTCATCTCCATGATACGGATTCGTCTACAGTCTCGCAGGAGACCTCAGGGTAAGCCGCCACCACCGTGAAGGGCCGACGGTGCTCACTCCGGGACACAGTCCGGTCGACACCCCTGACTCTTCGGCCACGCATGACGCCAACATTAAGACTGGTTCGATGGCAACGACGCCGCCATCAGCAACCTGCTCGCCGAGGAGAGCCGGCTGCGAAAAGTCTACGTCAGCCGACCGACCGCTGGTAACAAAGCAGCCCTCTGCCGTGGTCGCCGTCTTTTGCCCCAGCGGCTATGGGAGATGCTGAATTCCTGGATGGCTCGCAAGGCCGAGGAGATCCAAGGTTACGCGGGCCACAACGAATTGAAGAAGTTCTCCACAATCAAGGCTGTCTACGGTCCGCCAACCAAAGGAACTGCTCTTTTTCTCAGCGCGGACGGCAGTACCCTACTCACTGAGAAGACACAAATTCTATAGCAATGGGCCGAGCACTTCAGAAGCGTCCTCAACCTCCCCTCTACCATCTCCGAAGCCGCCATCGCCCGTCTGCCTCAAATGGAGACGAGCGCCGACCTCGACTTCCTGCCCTCCCTTCACGAAACCATTAAGGCCGTGCAGCAGCTCTCCAGCGGAAAGTGCCCGGATCGGACGCAATGTCTGCTGAGATCTACAAGCACTGTGACCCGCAGCTCATCGATCATCCGACGGTGCTCTTCCAGGGGATGTGGCGTCCAGGGAAAGTCTCGCAGGATTTCACGGACGCCACAATTGTCCATCTCTGCAAACGGAATGATAATCACCGGTTCTGAAACAACCACCGAGGCACTTCCATGACAAAGATCGTTGGGAGGGTCTTTGCTCGCATCCCTCTCAGTCGCCCGAACAACCATCCGTAATAGGGTTTCCTGACGGAAATCCAATGCCGTTTCCGCTGTTATCGCGGAACCACCGACATTGTCAGTCACCCATGAACTGCAGGAGAAGTGTCAGGAGATGCGGACCCACCTCAACTCTACCTTCTTGACTATGTCTTGACACTGGGTCCAGATAAGGGAGGAGAGAAAGTGGTAGATGCCGCGAAAATCTGTATTCACTATAAACTAAATCACGTGCAAGCCATCGTGCCTGCTTTACCTTGCTGTGGAGCACACACGGGACATCGTCGGCAACGACGATCGAACAGTCGTCGGGTGGCACATCGAGGTACAGGCCCACGTTGCGTCAGTTAAGATTCGAATTTTCTTTTTGTGTAGAATCTTGATCAGTGTACGTTGTAGACCGGGAGGTGTATGGTGGCACGCCTAGGTGCGGGTTTTCGCCGTATCAGCCTCCCGAACCCTCTGCCGCCTCCGGTCTTCTTGACTGTGTTATAACATCGGGCCCAGGTGGGAAGGAGAGAATGCGGTAGGTACTGCGCAAGCCTACTATTACCATAAACGAACCCATTCACAAGTCACTGTCCCTGCTCTTACTCTGCCGTGGTGCACACGGTGAGCATAGTTGGTAACGACGATCGAAGTGTCGAGTTTTTTTACCCACCAAAAACAGATCCCAAGAGAACTCGGCGTGATGCACTCCTTAGTTCTTGGCTGTATCTTTTGTTAGATAATCCGTCGGTGTACACTGTCGAAGTGCGTCAAAAACTCACACTTCCCTCCTACCCAGGCTGTTGCAAATATGCCCACAACACATTTTAATTGCCTCGAATCTCCCACTGCTGTGGGCCAGAGATGCCACCTGACATCAATTTATGCCGCGAAACCGAAGTGTTCTATGCATAGAAACTTATGAAGCATTGAAATTGTTATATGCTCTTTTAAACGGAAAGACTACCTAGGTGAGGTTGCAAAACTGATTAGCAGATAAGGTAATCCAAAGCTGTATTCCGCCCGACAGGATTTTTGCTTTAGTTTGAACATCCTCAGGCCACCTGCATAAACCGGAGTCAGAATAATCACTCACTTCATTGATGCGCAATTTTCCACCCACTTTTACGTCTGTATAAATTCAGTCCCATCGTATTAGAATCGGGCACTAAGAATTCTTCCCTTTGACTGAATTATATGAATTTGCGTTTTCAAATTTGATGAGTTCCCACACGTTCTTGCACTACCCAAACTACGTGACGCATATATTCACCTATTTAAAATGACGTCATCCTACATGTCCCATGGTCCCTGGGATTTACTCAATTGACTGGAGAGATTTTCAAATCAAAACATGCATCGTGCCATGAAGATGTGGCTTGGGATTATGCTCCTTACCACTTATTTTCACATCTTCGCTTAAGTAACCCTTTCCACTTGAACTTGTGTAAAACAAAATTAATCAATTTTCCATGGGTGCCGGCGCATAGTGCACTTCAGTCTTGCCGCAGACTTCAGCCCGAACTTATGTTCAATAGGGTCTGCAGCCAACAGCAGTGAGGGGCTCTCGATGGCCTCTGTTGGAAAAGCACGTTGACTCACACCCGCTGGGACTTGGAGTGAGACAGCCAATTTCTCAACCGGCCTTCCGACCTTCTCTTCTTTCCAGACCGATTTGAGCCTGTGGTGTTCGTCGCAGTATGTTTCGATGAGCCTGACCAGAAATAATTTCAGTGGATTGTTTAAGTGTCAGCACAACCAGAGGTTCTCCTATTTATATGTAGCATACGGGTGGGTGATTTTGAGCACCGGATTTTAATGCTTTGGGTCTGGGTTCAAATCCCGATCCATCCCGGAATAGAGCTAGAGTACGTCTATCTGGCGTAAATGTCACGTAGGAATGGTGTCCACCGATCTATCCTGACTTGAGAGCGGAAATTCCATTTCCGTTTTGTCACAAATGGCCATTTCGTTTGCCTGTCGTATTCAATAGCCCTTTCAAATACTAAATGTATTAAAGATTCCTAAATTCTGAGTTATTAAATCTCACTTACTTGCATTATACCAGGTGACCTAGAAGACCCTAGTTCAACATGGGAGCTAAGCATCGCACTCTGATGCGCCTACTCCCCTTAAAGACCCTAGCTTGGCTCCCTCGGGTGCGTAGTTTTGGGCAGTGACAAGACCTTCGGGCTATCTCCTGCAAGGGATACCATGGTATGGTGAGTGGAGCCTTGTCTTGCTCAGCGGAGTACTCGAGTTCGAGCCTCCAACTCACTGATCTTTCCTGGACGATGCCTACCACTTGACGTCAGAATAAATAACTGTTAGTGTTATCGAAAAACTTGGCACGTAATTCCCTGGGGCCGACCCTAAGATTCCAGTGAAAAACAGAACGCTCCTATTCCAACTTGCAGTCAACCCCGATCAACGATCACAATGCCTACGCCTAAGGATGGTCTCGAACGTGCGGTCAATAGAAAATACTGACAGGAATTGATGTTATTGATTATTATCATATTTCCGTTTCCTTCCTGCCGTTTCCACCCATTATCGTAACAAAGAGGACTTCACATGACCTCCTAGTCATGTTTTATCTAGAACTAGCTGGACCCGGCTACGCGTTGCTGTGCTTATGTGTAATAAAATGGAGAAGAAGAAAAAGAAGGGGACGCGTTTCGAATACGTTTACTTTCATAATGCTTGTGGGTATAGAATATTTGTTGTCGTTAATTGTCTTCACAGATATACAGCTTGGTATGCCGACTGTGGAGCATGCAACATATAGTTGGCCACATAAGAAACAACCTGCAGATCCAAACCGCGTAATTCGAAAGATTGGCCCTGAGCTTTGTTGATGGTGACTGCAAACGCCAATCAAATCGGGAACTGCAGTCTCCTACGGCGGCATCCCTGGCAGATCAAATGAATTCAAGAATTCTGTGGGATAACTAACTGCCTCGTCTGCTTCCACTGCCGTGTTGACGGACGTGTATGCGACAGTTTCGTTTCGACTTCTAGAATGAATAATATGGTTAAGATGGTACACGTCCATGTTCTTGGCCACAAGAATAGCCGTTCGCTCAGCCAGTCGTGATTGGTGTAATTGGTCTGAATATTGGGAAGCACCTTTTCAACCAATTCTTCTTCCGAAGACACTAAATTGCCGAAGGAAAGATGTAGTGAAATACATCCTGAATTCGGATTAACCGGAACCGTTCCGTTCCCATTTGCCAGCAATGGTGTGAGAATATCTCAGCTGATCGGTCGTTTTGCAGCTGGACACGCATATTAGTAGTTAATTTTACCGTCTTGACCTGGCGCCGCAACGCAGAGTATTTCAGGCAGGCATTCACTTCGTCCGCTGTTGTCGATCGCGGAATTACAGGCGATGTTTGCCGGAAGTCCTGCATGCAGTAGCAACGCATCTCCGAATGGCCTTGTGTTTTCGCGCAAATCTTGCAGTGTTCGATCAAGGGCCTCGAACGCTTTTTGTACGCCATTGTACATTCGTCCCAAACAATTAGTTTACATTCCTACAGTACTTTTTCCATGCCGGAGGCCTTGGAATTGTTGCACGTAGGAGTTCCCATGAACTACACGTTCAACGGCAATTTCAAAGCAGAATGAGTAGCTCGTCCGCTGGGTAGCAGGGTTACAGCTATTTCGGAGGACGCAAGAGCCAAGGCTATCTCATTTTTTGGTCGTACTACTGCCAGGATCAGTCATAGTAAGAACGTTTTGCCAGTCCCTCCTGGAGCATCTAAGAAGAAGTTTCCTTAAACCCCGTTATTGACATTCCTCATGATCTGATCGTAAATGCCGTTGCCGTTGCCGTTGTTAACTTAGGAATGCTTGATTGCAGGTATGACAGAAGTTCAACCGTGTTGTGGTTTTGCTCACGGCGCAAATCCACATCTGAGAAAACGGCAGAAGATCGGTTTGGTGATGGCATGCCCATTGAATTGAGAACTTTGTCTGCGATTTCTACGCACACACACTCAATCATTATTAATGCCTCTTTGTAGATGTCTGCTGTGAAGTCCAAATTTGAATTTTCCTTGCGTAGTCGACAGAAGATATCTTCAGCCGTGCACGACTTATATTTCTTCCGTAAATCTGTTGGAGATGAAGGGGAGCAGGCGGCTAGTATGATTGCAGACAATGTACGAATTGGATGTGGATAAGAAGTGTTGCAGGCGTCATTAATACATACGCCCGGTGTTGATCGTTATCCAATAAATTAAGAGCCTGACATGCACTGCGGAAAGTGGCATGCGTAACACAGTTGACAGATTTCAATTGCTGGAAAGACGTTGGACCGGGCACATTCACCAAAGACGTATGAAGGAAGCATTCGTCCTTATTGGGATGCAAAGTACACAGTCTGCCTATCGCAGTTCCCCTGAATATGTCAGGTTGTCTGTCGACTCGCTCTCCCCGTTTGCGTCGTACGAAAAGTCTTCTGCACGCATTCCATGTGTAATACATTGGCACTTCCGAATAGAGCAGTGTTTTCGTAAACGCGTCTGTTTGGCATAACGTGAGGAAAACAGTTATTGTTGTCGGTGGGTCTAAGGCAACCTGTTGCACATTTGCGACTGTAAAGTAAACGCGTTGCCCGTTCTCTAAGTGTACTGCCAAGTGAACAACAGCTGGACTTTGTTCGTTTATGGGAAGTGAAGGAATTCACCACACGGCTTCCTTGCCGCTGACCTATCTTCCAGCCCGATACTGCTCGTCTTCATCGAGTTGTCTGTCCGCATTCCTTCCTCTACTTTCGGGTTGCAGACCAAAAACGGCCATGTCGCTGCCTTTATTAACGTAATTACAAATGTTTTTAATTGATTTCACAGAATTGCAGTATTCCACGTTTATGTGCGCCTCGTGTGCCTCCGCTGTCGCAAGTATCCGTTGACGTAGAGACTTGGAGCGTCCTTCCGGCACTTTATAGATTACACGGAATGCTTGTTTGACATCTGCCCGGTGGCCGTTGTCAACCAAGTGAAGCACAATGACGCTGGATACGTTGATGACGTTATTGTAATAGCTTATGATAAAGTTGATTTGGGTGCCCTTCTGGTTAAAGTGGACCAGGCTCCGTTTTGGCTCACTTGGTTGATACTGGCTACCGGGTAGATGTCAACCAAGCATTCCGTGTAATCTATAAAGTGCCGGCAAGACGCTCCAAGTCGCTACGTCAACGGATACTTGCGACAGCGGAGGCAAAGGCCGTACGACTAACGAATCCAGCTTTCTGCTTGCAGAAGGCCTTCATTAGAGCCCTCCTATTACCCTGGTCAAAGCAGAGTCATGAAAGTTCGAACCCGCGTCATGGTACGTTGTGCCACAGCGACGGAGCATAAGCTCTGCTCTACCTAGACCTATGTTAATGTGCTAGCGTGATGAAGAATAATCGAAAACGTACGTTCGCCGACTTGAAGTCCCATTTATACATATATAGATGACAAAGCATTTAAAGACCGCACTAAGCGCTATATAATGTAATCAAGACTTTATTAGTCAAGGGGTCGCCTCATTAGTAGAGTGGCCACTCAGTGTTTGATGGGACACTAACATTTTGATTGAAAAACAAATTTACGGGGAAGTACACGAGGAAGGTGTCATCAAGTTGGGGAACGATACCGAGATAACTCTGAAAACCACGACGTCGTTCTCATCGTAATTCTGGAGCGTCCTCTACATAACCGTCTTGCTGGCGGCTTGAGTTAGCGGTTACCACCCCTCCCCAGCTTATGTGAATATTAGCGCGCTACTAAAAACTTTGACGCGCATGCGATAGCAGAACTGAGTCGACTCAAGTTGTGTGGTGAGGTACCTATCTCATATTTGGTCATCAAGTTCGAAACTACAACTTGTGTGTGGTGGGTGCTATGTTGTGGACTGTACGCCGTTAAGGCAATATTATCCGACTGTGAAGTTATTACAAATCACTCATCTTTATGAACACTTAATTTTGTCTTTTCGATTTTCGTGCCCCAACAGCTGCCGGAGCTTAATGCCACCATGCGGGACCTCTCGAAGGAGATGATGAAAATGGGGATTATGGAGGAGATGATTGATGAAGGCATGGACTCCGCACTGGGTCATTCAGAAGACATGGATGAGGTAGCGCAAGAAGAGGTCGACAAGATACTCTTTGAAGTCACTCAGGGAGCCATGGGCAAGGCACCAGAAGCTGTTACTGACACACTGCCCGCCGGCTACGTCCCTAGTGCCGCGAAAGCCTCCACTCCGGCTGTCATCGGCGACGATGATGGTGATGAGGACCTGGACGCCATGCGCGCTCGTCTTGATGCACTACGGAGTTAGAAACATCGCGTTGCACTCAGTCTTCTTAACCCCACGTTCTTTATATCATTCAGCAACTTTGTACAGAAACTGGGCCTTCCCCGCGGTCGTGGATCATCCCAGATTTGTGCCAGTCTCTCCGTTACTTTTGGTTTTCTCCCAGACGGGCCAAACTCCTGCTGCCGTCCTGAAACGCGCAAGCAGTCCAAGCAGATTGGCCTAACTTTCCATTCCTCTAGGGTGTTCATCCACAAGTACAGCCAGATGTTCGTGACGTTATGCCCCAACTAACTTGCACGCTCAGCCGACCTTTGGCCCTCCTTCCTTGATGCCCTTTCTCTGTCTTTTTCTTCTTATCATCTCTTTGTCAAACTCCTACCCGCAGGCGTGGTGACATTATCGTAAATTATCCAGGAGGCGTGCGTGAAAGAAGACACAACTCCAATTTACATTGCCCTATTCATTTCAACGTGTGACTGGGGTCCCTGTCCAAAGGCACCAGAATCTTTGAATCCTGGCCACTTCTAGTGTGGGAGTAGTATATGACTTCAATTTTAGGTTGGTTTAAAGGAGGGACACTATCGTTTGCCCCTACTTGCAACGACTCCGCGGCACTAATGAACTGAAGCTTCACAGCCTTGAGAGGGGGATCTTGCCGGGGTTGGTGCAATTAGGCACCTGGTGCGGATCGAGCGCAATTGTTCCTTGAGTTGATGGGTACACTGAAGAACAGCTTTAAGTGGCTCCTACGGGTCTTCGGCTTCGGCTATTTCTGTATGTTTTATCCTGATGGGTGTGATGGATGGGATGAAAAGCGGGTTCTGGAAACAAACACTATTCTAGGTCGACAGAAAACGGTGGATCCCCTAGCTCATAAACTCACCTATTTATGGGAGTTCTAGCCATTCTCGAATCTTCCGGCCACTGGCGTGCTAGTCTCGGTGGGCATTCTGGAATATTCTGGCCCACGCTGCAAGCCCCTCGCGGGATCTTGAATATTTGGGCTGTACGCGTGAGCAAGGGCTTCATGCGTATCCGACGCAGCAGTGCACGCTGATTGGCTGGCTAGTTCCGCGCGTGTTTCCCGGCCCGCTTGGCCTGCTGCAACGCCCGTGGTCGCGTGTTCTCGCTTTAGACCGCGGTTCCTTTGTGGTTCCGGTCTCCGTGTCACCGTACATGCGGCAACGCATACGTTCCCGTGACTGATATGCTAGCATCTTTTGCGCCGCCTATAGATTCTTTCTGGTTTGCCCAACACGGCATCTTGCATTGCTGGCTCCTCCCAGCAACACAACGCGCTTCTGGCGGCCTGACTTAGCAGTTGCCGTCCCCCTCCACCCTGTTTATGGAAATCATGACAACCACCAAAAAGCAAGACTGTGCCAACTAAAAGTGTGCGGTCGGGGGGACGTCTCTTACATCCATTTATCAAGTTCGCAGCTGCCACCTGTGTGTGTTAGGTGCTATACTTTGAGCTGTATTCCTCTACGGTAACATCATCCGACTTTTCTGCGTCGGCCTTCTGGAGACCGATTTCACTTAAGCGGTGGCCTTTGCCTTCATCGATCGAAAGGATATCTGGACATTTGCGTTAACCGAGAGCCAGATATCCTGGGCTGTGGTATTACGATTTGTATTCGACGAGAACGGTATGGGGCATGCATTCGGATCTGTACCACGCTAGGAACTAGATCCGATGACTGAATTGGTTCTCCAATATTTAAAATGAGGTGCTCCACAAGCAGACGTTGGAATCATTCCGCTAGACGTCACTCACAAGCTTTTTACAAACGCTTGGTTTGCAAGACAGTGCGAAGGTAGCTTATTCGATTTGAAAATTCATTTGTGCTGACGTTTTGCAAACAGAGGAGTGAAACGGTATGCCATCCCTCGCAACTGTCTGTGCACCATGTTGAATCATTAAAGTGGTACAGAGTTTGACAGGAAAACTCCTGTTTCGCTTTTTTTCCTAGGCAGGAGAGACTAAATGACAGATAGTTTTCATAAAATTCTGGTTATAAAACGGTCGTTTTTGGCCCTCATTGAAGTCGGCAGTTTATAAAGCGTCAGTAAATCCTCCGATTTCATCCAAGAGTTCACCAGATGGCTGATCAAGTAACTAGGACTGGATCTCGCACTTTTGAGTCCCGTGACGCTACGCGTGGCGATTTACTTCAAAACAGCCAAGCCTATCTTAATCCGACGCTCATCTGAGCTCCTATGACACACTAAAAGCGTCTTGAAAGGTTGCCAAGTGGCGGGGTAGCCTCGGGACTGAGACTCAGGTAACAGTGACTCCTTCCTAATTTGGCTTTACAGTAACCCTCACCAGTACGAGCTGGTTAGTTGGTTGTAGGACTAGTGGGTGCTTGGCTCTACGGATACGGGGCAAATGGCCGGTCGGCAACTGCGCCCTAGTGTGCCTAGTTGCCTTCCAGTTGGAAAATACTGCGTGTGAGCAGGGAGCTGGATTGATGCTGCGAGTCTACCTTACTTTTATCCGATTCCCACGCAGCTCATTTTTGTTCCGTCGGTGTTTTCATAGCGGTCGTGGGTCTTGATCATGGAAGACGGAGGACAGTCTGACTAGTTACATATTCTTCTGCAAAGCTGTCGTTAAATCGAGGACCTTGGAACAAGCTTCGGATTTGGGCAGACCTTAATACCGCTCTCTTCATACAGTGACTATTTTCCTTATGATGACAGCCCACCTTAGAGCATTTCACTTTTTTTCACCTTCTAAACAAACCATCGAAAGTAAACACTTCCACCCTGTAATAGCAGACGCTATACGACAGGCAATGGCGAGATGCCCAAAGGTCGCGCAGTGAGAAGGGTGACAAAAATACCACAAAAATTATGAAGAAAGTTGGTGGCAACCGATGCTGTGGTCATGTGCGCTTAATATTTCATCTATGGCGGATGCGGACACGCCCGTGTTAATAAGCGGAAATTTGGCGAAACTAAAGACGAGAGCTGGCAGGGAATAGGGAGAGTCTGTTTACTGTGCTGAAATTTCGAACTCGTGAAGGAGTCCATCGTCAGAGACTGCGGCAATTCCAGAACGGGCGACAGTTACAGGAGATATTAGCCTATTATCAATCAATGACGCAAGGTTAGAGGCAACTGCGCGGTGCCCTTTACTCAAGCAC